ATAGGGATCTCCACGATGCCCTCGGGGGGGTCTGGGTCCCCCAAACTAATTGCCCTGGGGAGGGAAGCCAGAGGTCTGCGGGGAAAGAAAGGAAGCAGCCCCTCTCCCCGTGACCCAGCCCGAGGGAAGATGAGCAAACACCCGCAAAGCCCCACATCCCCATGCCCCAGTGACTGTCCCCTCCCCCTTCTTCAAATCCCAGAAGCCCGTCAAAGCCACTTCTCCGCCTCAACCTTTCCTCCCAGCAGATCTCCTCCGCCCCCAACCTTTCCTCCCAGCAGATCTCCTCTGCCCAACCCTTTCCTCCCAGTAGATCTCCTCCGCCTCAACCTTTCCTACCAGTAGATCTTCTCCACCTGCCGAGTTCCAGTGACTGTCCCCTCCCCCTTCTTCAAATCCCAGAAGCCCGTCAAAGCCACTTCTCCGCCTCAACCTTTCCTCCCAGCAGATCTCCTCCGCCCCCAACCTTTCCTCCCAGCAGATCTCCTCTGCCCAACCCTTTCCTCCCAGTAGATCTCCTCCGCCTCAACCTTTCCTACCAGTAGATCTTCTCCACCTGCCGAGTTTTGAAGAGGAGCCGGATCTTCTCTGCCGCCTCCTTGCTCCGCGCCAGCACCATCACGCCCGTGGTCTCTTTGTCCAGCCGGTGGCAGAGGTGGAGGGGTTCGGCTTTCATGTTCTCCAGCATCTTGGCCAAAATCGGCAGCACGTCAGTGATGCAGTTCTTGACCCCAGGGCCACCTGCATAACCCATGAGCAAGGCAATCAGGGGAGACGTTCGCCTCCCCACCTACCTTAAATCCCCCCCCAAAACGCAGGATCTAAGGTGACAAACTCCCGATCTACCTCCCTGGGAAGGAAAACCTCAGCGCAGGGAGGATAGAGACCCCGTCAGTGCCATGGAGCCATTTCCATTTCCCCCTCTACGGCACCAGGGGGGCTGGCTTCTCCTCACCGTGCACGGGGAGGCCATAGGGTTTGTTGATCACCACAATCTCCTCGTTTTGGTACACGGTTGCCTGCTTGAGCACCTTGGCCAGGACGTTGGGGTGAACCTGCTGCAGTTGCTTGCTCAGCATGGCGAGTTCCCGGAGCCGTTTCTGCGCCGGGTTTTGGGGGATCTGAGGGGGAGGACAGAACGCCATTGATGGAGGAGAAACAGTTCACGGCTTGGGCGCAACGCTCCTGCACGACCTCC